GCTCCTGGCTCTGGATGCATGTGCGTATCTCCCCCTGCCTCTCTGTCTGACCAGGTGACCGTCCCTGCTACACTGGCAACTACCAGGCTCTGACAGGATAGAGGACTTGGGGTCCAAACCCCGCGTTCTTGGACGAGCATTAACAGCCAGTACCCACAGTCCGTGCTGAGCACAGCAGGACACAGCCTGAGCCCAGCCTCCGGGGGTCAGAGGTGGAGTCCATTCCCTCTGCTAGGGCCCAAGAACCCCAGACCTACAGAGAGTAGTGAACATGCGCACAACCACAGGAGAACAGAAGGCGTTCCCACGTTGTGACAAACCCTGAAGCCGGGGAAGAGGGCGGCGCAGTCAGCCTCTGCCACAGAGTCAGGCTTACTGCCCTGTCTGCGTTCCCCTCCTACTGACCTCCCAAGGATTAACGCCCTCCTTCTCCGTACTCCTCTTAGTAAAGGAAAGTCCTTCCTGTAGTCTAGCCTAAAAACCACTCTGGGTTCCTTGGAGCCAAACAGGGTGTTCAACAGGGACTGTGGATCTCACAGCATGAACGCCAGAAGGCCCCTTCTCTCCACTCATCTTCAGCATTCACCGAGCACCTATTCCCTGCCAATACTGTGCAGGGGGTGAGGACAGCCCTGCTCCCAAGGAGCGCTGTGTCTGATAGGAGGGAACCCATGCACTGTGCATCAGCACTACCCTCCGGTTGTGTACCAGGTCCGTCAGGGAACAGGGCAGAGTCGAGAGCAAGGCAGACCCTGTACCTGGGTGCCAGTCAAGCTCAAAGGCAACCACTATGCCACCCCGCTCGATGACGGGGGAGGGGGGGCATGCTGACTGCCCTGGGTCTGCCAAAACCTGTCCTCCTGGAGAACTGATGACTCTTCAGTCTGTTCCTAACCCCAGCTGGGGCCCTCATGCTGGCCACAAGTCACCACCATAGTCTAATTTCAGTCCCTCCCACTGTGGTGCTAGCCCCAGCTCTAGGAGCTGGTTCCCTAAGGCAGAGTTGACTCTTCTCCCACATCTGCTCTGGCTCCTCCTCCTACCCTGCTGCCCTCAAAGTTCCTGGCTCCGGGAACCCCTGACCCAGCATGGCTCCATGCTTCAGGGACTCCCTCTGCCCTCTGCAGAGGTAGCCGGGTGATGACCACAGGCTCTCCACCCACAGGGCCCACTTGCCGCTCTGGCCCCTCCCCACAGGAAGCCATGTCCCAGTGGGTGTGGTCACCCAGGGCCACAAGAGTTTACACAGCTGAGTTCTCCCCCACACCCCCTGCCCATGGTGGGTCTGGAGGAGAGGTCAGCTCTCCCCAGCTCCTTACTCTCAGGGTCTCCCCCAAACCAGGCACACATGGTACCCCCCCCAGCCCATCTGCATTTCAAAGAAAATCCACTCCATATGTTTCCGATTCATTTACACTTCAACTCGCCATGGGGGGGCAGAGAGCAGGGCGCCTTGCCTCCAAGCCCCCCACCCCCATAGGGGGCTGGAGAGCATGTGTCCCCTTCAGGGCCAGGGAGCAGTTACAGCCCAGTCATCTCAGCCTTGGGGGAGGTGCATGCCGCTCAGGTCCCAAATGAGTGAGCTCCCTGGGGAAGGAGTTGCCTCAGGAGCCCAGTGGACGGGTTCCCATAGCAAGGGGCACATAAAGTCCAGGGCCATGTAAAGTCCAGGACCATGTCTCTAAGGCTGGTGGAGGAGGCCCAGGGCTGGCTGCAGCCTCGGCACCCCAGGGCTCCTGCTCTCCTGCAGAGCAGAGTGGGGATGCCTGGGCAAATCCTGGAGCGAGCAAGGATAGGGTTCAAAAGGCATTCCAGGAGACACCCTGAGATGTAACACAGTCCCCACCCTGCTCTAGCCCAGCAGAGGAGGGAAGGTGCAGTACAGCCCAGTTTTCTCCTCCAGCTCTCACCACAGATCTGAGGCTACCATTTCTCAGAATTACAAATTCAGCACCCTGGAACAGTCCCTGGAAGCAGACCTCTACTGCCCAGGTCAGTCTTGCCCTTCCCATCCTAAGAATGACTGGATGGCCTGGGAGGGCATCCTAGGAGAACACTGTGTTTCCCCACGCCTGGCCCTCTCCACCATAGAAAGGGTGTCCAAACTAAGGGGGTATGGATGGCCCATGGAAGACTCGAAAGGTTCACGCCATCTCTGAACCATCAAGTCATCACACCTTCCTGCCAAGAGCCTGGTCTCCTTGTGCAGCATAAGGTAGGGAGGTTTAATTGTGTCTTTCCCACCCCTCCTCCGCCAGCCCACAGTCTAAGTGAGGGATGTACAAATATATATCCTGTCTCCTCCATCTTTTGGAGAGGTCAGGTCTTATAGTAGTATCTGTTCCAAACTTTGATTGCCTTGATACGTACTACAGATCAAAGCACAGGTACCCAAGACTGAGTCCTAAATTCCACTGGGTTTTGTGAACACCATGATTTGAATTTGGGCCTGGACATGAGCCCCAGAAGTGTGAGCTTAACATAAGTGCCAGAATCTAATGTCAGTCTGAGTGGGAATTCAAGTGGAAGTGTGGGTTTGAGTATGAATCCAGGTCCCAGGACACCTCATTTACAAGCCACAGTAAGTCAGAATGTAAGGAAGCTCCAGCAGTGAAGTGCGGGCTTGAGTCCTGGGAGTCCCAAACAAGTCAGTGAAACACTAGAGCTCCGCGTTAGCGTCTGAGTGTGAGTCCCTGGTCTTAACGGCATTTTGAATATGAGCTAAGGGTCCCACATGAGTCCACTTGTGCACACTGGGTTCTTTTTAAAGTCTGAGTGTGAGCCCCACAGCACCCATATGAGTGTGAATGTCAGGGTCCTGGTGTAAATCTAAGTGATCCTAAGGTGGAAGTAAGAATCTTGTGTGAGCACTAGACTCTTAATGTGAGTCTGAGTGTGAGGAAGTCACCCTGACCCTGGTGTGAGTCTAAATGTAAGCTCCGGGTTACCCCTGTGAATCCGATCAGACTCCCCACTTCAGTCCGTGAGAACCCAAGGGTCCTACCATTAATCTGAGTAAGTGCCACGGTCCCTACAGAGTCTGCATGTGAGTCCAGTGTGGAATTATAAGACTAGGAACTGCAATGTCTACGAGTTCTTGGGTTCACATGTGAGCCTGAGTGTGAACCCCTCATCTGACTGCGACTCTGAATCCCAGAATGAAAATGTGAATCAGGAAAGTCCTGAGTCTTAGTGTGAGTCCAAGTGTGAGCTCTGGAATCCAAATCAGCTTCTAAGTGTGAGTTCCAAGTCTCAGTGCAAACCTATGTACTAAGAGTTAGAAATGTCTAAGTGTGAGCCCACAGCCCCACTGTGCATCCAAGTTCGAGCACAGTCTCAGTGTGCGCGTAAACCCCAGACTGAAGTGCGAACCTGGGTGACCCCCAGAATAACATATTCAGAATGTGAGCCCCACTGTCCTGGTGTAATTCTGCGTGTGAGTTGGAGTGCCAATCCCAAGACCTTAAAATGAACTTTAAGTGTCCCAGTGTGAATGTGAGTGCAAATTTCAGAGCCTCAGGAAGCCCTGAGTGTGAACTTCAAACTCTCAGTCTCTGTGGAGGCTCAGGTCCCACCCGGATAATCAGATCTGGCGGTGTGAACCTTTTGCTCCATCTCTGACCGGGGTGCCCAGAACCGTCTGAGAGGGTCTGTGTGGGTCCTGAGAGCGGAGACGGGCGCAGTGTGAGACACACAGCCCCTCTACCCCCAGCACTGCCTAGCCCTACCCCCCTAAAAATCTCTGATTGTTTAAGCACCATCCCCACACATGCAACAGCACACCATCACACCCAGGGCTAGACACACAAAAACACAGCCAGCGTTTCAGACGCCCCGACACACAGCGATTACAGATGCACAAACACACCTAGCATTTCGGACTCTAACCGCCACACAAACACCCCCATGATTAAGGCCACACAAACACCCCCATGACACAGACACAAAACAAAGGCAAAACAACTAGTGTTACAAACACATACCTACAACGGCATGCAGACACACACCCAGTGTTGCAGACAAGCTGCCAGCCACACAGACACACACAGACGATTCTCAAAGACAGACTAGACGGAAAGAGAAAGAAAATCCTGAATTTTCAACAAGGCGTGAAATAGTCCTGCCCGCCCGAAGCTACTGGAGGGGGAGGGGACCCAGGGAGCAGGCGAGGAGAGATGGAGCTAACCGCTGAAGGGAGGCTCAGGAGAGAAGAGGCGCAGAGCCCAGGAGCAGAGCTGTCCGTCTGGTGACCTCCCGCGGCCCAGCCCCCCACGCACCGGGAGGCATACTACTCTGACAACGCAGGGACACCCGGGCCTGCTCACACAGAGCCGCACCAGAGGAGGCACACACGGGCAGGCTCACAAAGAGACACCTGGGGATACACCACAGGCAGACTCATTCCAACCGGGGACTTCAGAGACGCACTGGAGGAGACCCACTGGCTGCACGGAAATGCATCCAGGCGGACTCGCGAGAAAACCACAGGCAGGCTCACACCGAGACACACACACACACACACACACACACACACACACACACACAGGAGGATTCACATGGACACACAAGCTCTGGCAGACGCACAGCTGTCCGTTCACACCCCGGGGCGCTTTGAAGTCCAGATTTTTGCCCGAGAAAGAAGCCGCCTTTGGGTACCCCCCAAGCCCTGGAATTTTCCCAGACCTGGCGCGTGGGGCTGGAGGGTAGGACGAACAGGGACACCAGGACAAACCGCTCCTAGCACCTCCTTCCAGCCGATTGTCCAGCCCCACCACTACCACGCCCAACCCCTGGCTCGCCCGGACGTGGGGGGCCGCTTCTGCGCCCCCGCCCCCGAGTTTGTGGGCAAAGTTTCTCATGAACTTTCCTGCCTCCCCCTGCCGCGGATCCACGCGTGTTCCCCTCACTCTTCCGGCGCGCACGAGGACCGCGCGTCCGCAGGTCTGTCCGCCCGAGGGTTGGAGGGTCCAGCTCCGCGCAGACAGCCGCGGGGTACTCACCGCGCCCTCGGGGCGCCGCGCCCTTCCACCGCCCCGGCAGGCAGCGAGGCTGGGAGCGCCGAGGAGCACCGCCGCCGGATCC